GGAATAAAAATATTTGTATTTACAAGCAACAGAAATAGCTCATTTGTGCATCCTTCAACAGCTAAAATTATTTTTAATAATTTTAACATGTATTTGAAAATCCTTTGAAATCTATTAAGGCTAATTTAGATCACTGTACATATTTTATGCTTAAAGATTTACATCATTATTATTATATATCCTACTTTTTCTGAGAGTTCAAGGAGACTTGCAAGAGATTTCTATTAATTTTATTTCCACAATAAGCCTGCAGGATGGGATGGGATGAGATAGATTTATTGACCCAATACCATCATTTAAATTTGGGTCTCCCAGGTCCAACCATTTAATCACCACTCTACTCATCTTAAAGGGCAAAATGTGGGATTTTTACATTTTTCTCTCTGAATAGTGAGCTTTTAGAAAAACACTTTCATTTTAAAAACAATACAAGACCATATGGACCATCATCCATAGTATTTTGGATCCTGCAGTCTGTCATTCAAAGTAAGATTACACAGGATATGGATTGTGTAATCAATGCATTTCCTCCCAAGGGAATAAATTCTATTATGTGAATTTTAGAAAAAAAGGAGTCATCATCACCATATTAGAAATTATAGTTAGCAGCCATGAAACTTATACCTGTGACAGTGCATCATTATAATTGAAGCAGCTGAAATTTGTAACTTCACGGTGTTTTTAGAACATTTATTTTAACATATTTTGCTCGGCTAAAAGACCTTGAGTTGGACTAGATTATAGTGGAGCAATAGATCAAAGGGAAAGACAATCAGTGGGACTCATTCTCAGTATGACCAGTTGCTAAATAATTGACTGTTGCACTTTACAAACAGATAAGCAGTATTTAATAACTTACCCATTTGGTAATGTGTTCAAACTTTGAGCTGGAACTTACTTGATTATTATGGGTGCATTTGTAACTGACATGGATGGCAAAATTATGAGAATTGAAGTCCAGTACTTTTAGAGCATTGTTTTCAAGCTTCTGAAAACATTCTGGGAGTTACAACACATCTGAAAAGTGCCAAGTTTGAAAATTGGATTTAGAAGAGGGTAGGTTGGAAAAAGTTGATTTAAGCCAAGGGTCTTCAAACTTGGCAAGTTTAAGACTTGTGGATTTCAACTCCCAGAATTCCTGAGCCTAACATGACTGGAGGAGGAATTCTGGGAGTTGAAGTCCACAAGTCTTAAAGCTGCTGAGTTTGAAGGCCCCTGATTTAAGCTATAGCACATAGGCCTTTTTGTATCCAAGGACTTTAAAAAGCAAAACAAAAACTTGTTCAGAGCTTCCAAGGATGGCAGGGGTATAACAATGATTTCCCTGGAAGGAGCCCCTTTTAAACTTTCTTTTATTGTACATTGGGTGCAGTGGTGGCATTCGACCGGTTCTGCCCGGTTCTGGAGAGCCAGTAGCGGCAATGAGCAGCGGAGACGGAACCGGTTCTCCGCTGCTCTGTGTTTGGCCTACCCACCCGCCCGGCCTCCCATACTCACTTTTATGGCCAGAATTCGAAGTGCATCTGCTTTGCGTGGCGCAAAATAGCGCCGCGTGGCAGCTGCTGCAGCGACCGGCATCATGCAGGCTTGCAGGAGGCGAGTTAGAATGCCTCTGCACAAAGTACGTTTGGCACGCGCGTCCACGCAAAGTGTGCACGTGTGCACAGTGCGTCCACAGCCACGCCCACCGAACCGGTAGCAACTTTATTTGAATACCACCACTGATTGAGTGGGTTGGTAAAGGAGGTGTCTCCAACATAATGCACCTATTTTATATATTTTTTTAAAAAACAGAAAACTTGTCATCCTAGAAGCCATTCTCTTGGTAGAAAGGGCATAGTTACAAGATCTGACAAATTCCATCAATAGGCTCTGAATTTATTCTTACAGTCTGATGACGCTATTCTTTATTAGTTGGAGATTATCCACAGAGTTGAATCCTATCAGAAACTTAGGTTATTTCATTGTTGCCAAATATCATGATCACTGTCAACAGAGTTGCCTGTCAAATATTTCATTAGTTTACATGTATAATATCTTTAAATGTAAATGGGAACAACAGTGTCCATGGGATCCAAATGAGTTAAACTGACCAAAGTATCATTATGAAGTTCTGATACAAGCCCTTTTTCTGCCTACATTGTGACATTGGGCATGCCAACTTGCAGTGTGATGCTATAATGCTGCCTTTTAACATTCCAGTGAAAAGCAGCAAAATCCCACAGAGGCTACTGATTAACAGCTTCAGCAGTTTGGGTGGAATTATATCTAATTATGAGATCTTAGTTTTTAAGCATTTCTTTTCTGTAATCTGCTATAACTTGTTGTAACCTTAACAAGAGGGACATTCAGACATGATAAAGAAGCTACTTTGCAGATAAGTTGTCCTAGGTATCCTGAAGCATCTCTTCCGAATGAACCCAAAATGCTGCTCTTGGCAGTGCAAATTTATGAATTTTCTGGACTAATTTAGCTTCAGCAGATGGCAGCCCTTTCTGCCAGATCAGCTCTGGTTCATATTTGGATGGGGCATCAACAGAGGATTCCGGGGCTGTTGGCTAGACTGGGAAATTGGGGAAAAAGAAATATCCCAGAAGGGATCAATGGCAAATCACTTCTATAACATTGCTAAGAAAGCTGCATGGATGCATTCACCAGGAACCAAGTTCAACTCAAGGGCACCTTTATGGATCTTTGGGCAGATTTGTACAATTTTGTGGCAGCATTCTTTAGATCTGGAGGAAAATTGGCCTCATAGATTATTAAAAGATTTACAATAGTCCTCATTTGCCTACCACATACATCTCTTAGTAGGAAGAGAAGGGAGAGGTAAGGCATATCTAGTATTCAGGCATTACTTCTTGGATAAAAGAACCCAAGCTGGAGACTAAATAGCACAAGCATGTTCCTTTCAAGGAAAGACACAATTTTAATATGATTTTTCTCAAAAGGTAAAAGTCTCAAGACAAGCTCAGCAGGGGAAGATCTATACATTTTTCTTGTATAAGTAATACAGAAGTATTACCATTGCTGCCTTCTGAGACTACAGATAGAAGAGGTGTAGAAACAGTTTATGCACAAAAAAAAAAGACAAAAATGATATAGGAGAGAACTGAAGCTGTATATTAATAGGCTTAACCCTACATCTACTTGATAGTTGGCTAAGAACTGCTGAATATAGTAGGATTTGGTTCCAAATAAACATTCAAAGGATTACATCCTACATCCCACAGAAACCAATAATATTCAATCATACTTATTTATATGGGAAATAACAGCATGTTTTTCTCCTTTAAAAGGATTTCCATTCATAATTGAGGTATTTATTGATATCACCTGTTAACTTTGGAAATACTCCTTAGACTGTTAAGTGTACTGTTTTGAGAGATACATTCTTAGCAAACTTATTAGTTTTTAGTAGTCATTAATAAAACTATCATCTTTGGCAGTAAGATATGCCATAAAATTGTTAGCAAGATCTCAGAAACATTTTTGTCATATCTTTTAAGGCATACAAGAGAAATGAATCTTCAATATACAGTAAACTTAGGATCTACTGGAGGCATAATCCTAAAATAATGGATGATTGTCCAAATGAAAAGATAAAAGTAGGAACTTGGCAAAATAAAAAAAGGAAAATGTACTCACATTCAAGAATCATTACAGTACCGTTAATTAAGATGAAGAACTCCATTCTTTAAAAATATTATGAACTGGAAATCAGAACAGGAGGCAGACAGACTATTGGATAACAAGGAAGTTAAAGATGTACTAAAGGAAGATGTGATTACAAAGAAAATGAATGAATTATTTGACTTAATCTTGAAAGACACAAAACATATCCATTCCAAAAATAAATAGGACATTCTGAATCAGTGTAGCATCTGCAAATATAAATTGTCTCACTATTTTGTGAGCTTTGTGATAATATGGTGCCATGATGTTTTAACCATGGTTTTAAAATAAACCAAAGAACTATGCCCCAAATATAATGATAAAGTATAATTTTCTGAGACATAAGAGGACCATGAGTTGTACTTCTGCCTTAGGCACAAAGCCAGGTGGGTGACCTTGGGCCAGTCACTTTCAGAAGGGGACCCAAAGGTGCTTTTTCAAGAGGCAACTGGACTTGCTGGTTTTTCTTTGAAGACATTTCGCTTCTCATCCAAGAAGCTTCTTCGGAAACTGAAGAAACTTCTTGGATGAGAAGTGAAATGTCTTCAAAGAAAAAACTAGAAAGTCCAGTTGCCTCTTTAAAAAGCACCTTTGGGACAACCATGACCTGAATGACTGAGAATCTCTATAGACTTTCAGAAGGAGACAAACCAGTTCTGAATTCTTGCCAAGAAAACTATAGGGATTAATCCAGACAATTGCCAGGTGTCAACAGTGACTTGAAGGCACCAAAACCCAAAACCAAACTCACCAATCCAGTCTTTGCCTTAGTCAGTACTTCTATCCAGCCACTGGCTTTATTCCCCAAATCCTCTGAAACAGACTCATGCTTTTCCTTCCTGAGGGAGCTCTTCTCCAACTATCCAGCATTCCCTCCAGCCAGCTAATCTCCCAGACATAAAAATCAGCTGCTGCCAATGAGAAACTCTGTAACCATCACTCCAAAAGAAATGCTAACTTTGCAGCCAGACAATGTGGTGGCAATTGAAAGAAATGTGCCAATCCCAGATCAGTGCAACCTGCTAGCAGAAAGGACAGCAATGAAGTGATGACCCTTGGTGTAATTCTTCTGGGATGATATAAAACTCTTCTTTTGTTTGGAGTTGTTTGCATTTATGAATCAAACTCGTATGCAAACAGCAGGTCTGGGAAAGTTTGTGTTACCTATCTGTCTGCAAAAATCTTGTTTAGGTTCAAGACTGCACTGCGTAGAATTGGGGAGATGCAAATATCAGCTTAGAATATTAAGCTTTGAAGATTATTGCAAATTTAATAACAGACCTAAAATAGATTAATATTTTATACTGTACACACACATGCATATACACATACATACACATGCTTTGTAAATAATTACTGCTCTAAGTAGATGGAGCAATCATTTGTAAAGGATGAATACCATCATGGATCAGAATTATTGTTTTCTTTAAAACGGCCCTTAAAGCTGTTCATCCCCAAACCTGAAAACTATTTCTTCTGAATAATTTGAAAAGAACTGGATTCCTGTTACAGGTACTGACGTCTAGAACCTTTAAAGTGCTTCTTTCACCTGTTCTCCACTTCTTTCCTTAATCATATACTACCTCCTGTGTGGTTCTTCATTCCAGTGTCTTTCATTCCAACATGGTGTGTTGTCCCTAATGTCCCTTTAATGGGATGTAGAGAGTTGTCAGGAACAGACCACAGGTTGTCTGCGAATCCATGGAGAATGCTCTGGAAGAGAGTTTGTAAAGTGTTACTTAATTGTGTTAAGCAAATCAATATTATTTGTATTCCACCTTCATTAGTTTTACAAGTAACTCAAGTACACCTTCCTCCATCTATTTTCCTCAGAACAACAATCCTATGAGGTGAATTGGTCTGAGACAGCTGCCTTTCATGGCTAGGACAGGACTTGAACTCAGGACCTCCTAGTTTCTAGCCTGGTGCCTTAATCAGGCCAGAAATTCTTTAAATTCTTTTTTTTTTTCTTAATCCTTAAAAATTCAGACTTGTTACACTTGTCACATTCAGTCATTATTTGTGAAACATGGTGGACAAATAACATGACTGTTCAACCCTCTAACCATTTTTAAATGCTTATTTTGGTCTTATTAAGTTTTGTTTTGAGCAGAAAAGGTGATATAAATTAATGAAGTATTACAAACATTTCGGAACAAGGGCCAAATGTTCTTTTTCCTTTGTTCTCACCACCTTCATGATAGAATGATTAATTTACAACAGAAGTAATTGCTAGTAGATTTTTTACCAACCGGTTTTTCCCCCGACTAAATAGTATCATTTATGTAGCAAAACCTCCCTGGCTTCACTTTTCCCCAATATCTTTTTAAGACAAGCCCCAAATAATCATTAGTGGTTTGGAAACCTATTTTGGGTCAGAAAAGTAAATTTTTAATTTTATTTAATTTCTTTGTTACCTTCTGGGAGGAGACTTTGTGCTATCTGAAGCAGAACAACTAAATTCTGTAATAGCTTTTCCACATAGGACCAACCTTGTTAACTTTCAAGGCTCTTTTTTCTGCTATGTATTCAAAATGGATTCTGATTAATATACATAGGATAGGATAGGATAGGATAACTTTATTGTCACTTTGAATGTATGCTAATTGGCATACATTAAAATTAAATTACATTGCATACAGCACTCAAAGCAGAGGTGGTATTCATCAGGTTTTGACCAGTTCTGGAGAACCGGTAACGGAAATTTTGAGTAGTTTGGAGAACCGGCAAATACCACCTCTGACTGGAGATTTTACAGTATCCTTCCCTGCCATACCCACCCACAGAACCGGTAGTAAAAAATTTTGAATCCCACCATTGACTCAAAGGATCTTCACCTCTAATATAAACATAAACATGACAAGATAAATAAATAAATACAAGATTATGCATGTACCCACATATATGACACGGTTTGGATGTATAGGGGTGTGTGTGTGTGTGTGTGTGTTTGTGTATCTTAAGAACTTACCAAATGTCAAAAACTTCTCTGTCCAGCTGGACTTGAAATAAGCTGGGGCAATCTTTAGCAGTAGGAACAGATAACAAGCTAAAGACTCATTTTATTGTAAGATAGAATTCCTTAGAGAATTGACACTCATCAAGATAATTGTATGGTGTTTAGCGTATTCTCTCCATACCCAATGAAATATATCAGTTGGTGTCGTAGTAAATAGCTCACTACTCTAAGTTCATTGGATAGAAGTTGGAAGTCTTAAATTCCTTCCTCATAAGACTTCTAGGTCTTTGCATTCTAGCCCTGTCTCTTGCTTTAGGAAAACAACACGTGCTTCCTGCTGTACCATCCATCTTCCAGAGGCATTTTACCTGGTGGCTGGTCACTTAAACCTGGCACATGAGAAATAGAACCTGTGCTTCAATTCTGGTGATTAAAAAGTAAAAATGAAACAATTCCTGAGGCACTAAGAAGCATTGCAATATGAGGTCAAATGTACCATATCTCTGAGTCAGCTGTGAAAAGTTTGGGATATTCCATTTCTGTTCTTTATTGATGGGAAAGACACCAAGTCAAAATGTAGTGTGTTTGTTCATATGCTATCTGTCTGTCTGTCTATCATGTCTATCACTATCTAAAGGCATTGCATTTGTAATTTGTTTTCTATACAATACATTATCAAAATACAACTAAGAATGCCTTAATTAATCATGTCCTGCTTAAAGGTACCAACCTAGACAAACAATACTTAATTATAACTATGAAACAAGACAACATCATGCTACATTTTTTGGAATAGCTTTTTACTAACAATAGGTAAAATCTCAGTTTAAGCTTCAGACAACATACTAAAATGAGTTTAATCTAACAGGGAAATAGAGTTTTCTGATTTTGAGTCACAAGAGAGAGCCATGCCAGCCAAGGATGAAACTATGCTTATTCTCATAATGCTATAAATAATAATTACAGAGAAACAACCACAACCCTTTTCAAGTTCACGGCCCAATTGAATATTTATCTTGAGGAAAATTTGACTTCTGAATACCACTAACATTAAATGAAGTGAAGGAGGATTGTTTATACATTTTTAGGCGGAGTGTTTTGCAACTAAATGCCTGACTGATTTTTCTGTGGGAACTTCTAGCAGTGAAAGAAAAAAATATATGATCCATTTCCTATTGCTGTCAAGATGGACATCTCCATATAGTCAAGGGCGGTTTACTTTGTTTCAATGAAACCTTTACTTTTTAATGAAAGTTACAGTAGTCTTAATGGATTCTCATTGAAAATGTCTGCATTAAATTCAAAGAGTTGTATAGCTCTTTCCCAAGATCCCACACTAGGCAATGGTACTGTATAAGTTAGGAGTATAGATTTAGTTTACTTGGTTAGAATGAGGTTCCAGTCAAAAGGTTTAAAATGGGCCTGGTGGGAATTTGCTAATTGCCAGAAACTGTAATACTTCGCTAGCAGAAATAATGAGAATCCATCCAGCAGCTCTTTTGTGGACCTAATTTCTGGATTCCATCTCCAGTTCCCATACTACCTGATCTAGTATGGCTGACATCACTAACTGCTAGTATTTTTATTTTAACTATAGCAGAAAGCCTAGCCTGGATCTATGTTCACAAATGGCAAGCTCAGCCTTGGTATGTGGGTTATGTCATTCTCAACAAACCAGAGGACACCAAGAGGCCTTTATAACTGATGGCCAGATTTAGACTTTGAGAGCACAATGGGAGTGCTTTTACAAAATGGCAGTTATGGAGCAAGGCCAGTCACAGAACTGCCACTTCATCAAGAAGGAATTAGAATGGGCTTATTCCATGCCAACCCTAGTAAAACTACTTTTTGATGTGGTCTGTTATCATTGCTTCCCTTTGCCTTTTTAGGGAAGGGAGGAATTGATCCTATTTCAAATCAAGGCATTGGATTTGAGTCACTCTGACTCCCATTGTCTAATAATGCTTGGTGAACCATTTTTTAAAAAAAATCTAGTGAGCCTAATCAAAAAATAAGGTGGGAATGCAAGGATGACTGATACTGAATAGCACAGAGCGTCAGTGTTCCAAGTACCCTGTTTCTCCAACAATACGGCCTCCCCCAATAGGAAGTCCCAGCATGTTTTATAGGCATGAAATGAAATTAAGTCCCTCCCCCCAAATTAAGGCCTATATTAAAACATGCGAAATGGGGGGGGAATGGTGGGGGGGCTGTTAGGAAGTACTTTTGTTGCACACCCGGATATGGTGCTGCCTGCGTTGACCCCGATACTAAGTGCCTCACCAACGCCAAGGTCAACATCCAAGCCGTCGCCGCCCGCACGCCCAAAGATGCAAGGGGGGGAATTAAGTCACCCCCGAAAAGATGGCCTAGCCATTTTTGGGGGGCTCAGAAAAAAATAAGACCCGGCCTTATTATATGAGAAACACGGTAACAACCTCCAACCCAATAAACTCAGAGACAAGCATTTCTTCAAAGTTCCATTTTATTAGAGTTGTCATATTGGCACATCTGGGAAAACACAAATCTGAGAGTTCCAGTATTCCCTTCCCAAAAGAAAATCAAAGATCCATCCTCTGCACCCACCAATCCATCACATGGTCCAATCAAACATCGTCCCAACTGGAGACATATTTCCAGACACTCTTCTCCAGGTGCAGGGTAACATGTCCTTGACATTATAAGAAATAATGTTGTTGAGTCTAATCTTCTACCTCTCTATGAAATCCCCTCTCCCAAATTCCCAGGCACTAAATGTGGCAGCCTCCAAGCTTCCAAGTAAAATATGGTTTCCAAGGCTGGCACAGAGAAGTTGAAGTTTGCCATCTTGCCTTTGTCTATGGTAGATATGATGTGTGGCAATAAAGAATATGTGGTTGGCCTGTATTCATGCCCCTTTGTGGGAGAGCCTATTGTCTATATTCTCTTATCCATAGCTCAATCACATGACCTATGCTGTACAACTATGCTGTAATCATATGAATCTTTCATAAAAACAAATAAGATGGTGATGCCTTCAAAAAGAATTTTAACAAAGAAAGTAGTTCCTTCTGAAACATGGGCAATTCATGAGCTAGAATAAAATGTAGGGCTATTTTTCAAAGTCACTGCTAATGTATGATTAGCTAAACAATGGATAAAAAAAAGAATTACACTGAAAAAGAAGGAAGGCTCAAACAATATTTAATATCCATCCTTTTTTAAAAAATGTAAAATGAGTATACAGTATAGTCAATTCAGTAAATAAGCATATACGTCCCAATTATTTATCTCTTAGATTTATAACCTGGCTTTAATTTAGGAGATCAAAATGGCAAGCATAGGCCTCCCTCCTTCAATTTTTTACCCATAATAATTCAGTGTATTGTGGAATTTTCTGAAAAAGAAAAGGAAAAACTACAATGCCTTTGTGCCATTCAGAGACAGACAACGAACAAGAAATTCAAGAAATGCAGAGAACAGGCATGACGAGAAGAAGAGCACCTACTCATTTCTACCTGTCACACCACTGCAAAAGTCACAGTATGTAAATTAGCAATTAGTAATTCAGAATGGCAGGAAATAATTTTGCAAAGGATGAGTTTGGGAGCAAGAACAGCAAGACTGAACTACAAACCTTTCAGGGTTCAATGCAGAACCAGCCTACATGGAAAATAACACTTCCAATACTGGAAGTTTTTAAAAAGAGATTTGACAAACATTTGTCTATTCGCCAAAGCACCTGAAGGCAGGACAAGGAATAATGGGTGGAAGA